AGGAAAAATTTCTTTACTGAAAGAGTGGTTAAACATTGGAACAGGCTGCCCAGGGGAGTGGTTGAGTCCCCATCCCTGGAAGTATTTAAAAGACGTGTAGATGAGGCGCTTAGGGACATGGTTTAGTGGGCATGGTGGTGTTGGGTCGATGGTTGGACTCGATGATCTTAGAGGTCTTTTCCAACCTTAATGATTCTACAATTCTATGATTCTAACACTCTGGCTATTGTATGCTGTTCTGTCTTGCATCTTCTGTTGTAGGTTTGTAACTTGTCAAAAAGAGTCTAGTTCCCAATTAGCAGCTACTGTATAGCCAGACAGACTCTAACCGGTGCTGTCACAAGCTCTTGCTATGCTATACTTCCTATACTTATACAATGAGAATGGAGCTAAAATAAAGGGGTACAGCTTAATGCTTGGGATAAATGTATATAGTCATGAAAAATAATCTTTAATAAAACTTTCTTTTTAAGATTGCTGATGGCATGGCTTACATTGAAAGAATGAACTACATCCACAGGGATCTCCGGGCAGCTAACATTCTTGTAGGAGACAATCTTGTGTGTAAAATAGCAGACTTCGGTTTAGCAAGGTTAATAGAGGACAATGAGTACACCGCAAGACAAGGTAAGACCAATTTATTCACTGAATAAAGAAGACCAGTTACCTTCAAATTACTTAGAACTATTACATTTAGCAGAATGTGTCTGTGTATTCTGTCCGCATGAATAAAGATTATGCATATAAGTGTGCTTTCACAGCTATGTTTAGGTGTCCCCCTTACCTAAGTGCAATTTTAGTAAACTTTTTAATGTTCAAAATTATCTGGCAGCTTGCTTATGTTTTCAAAAAATGTTTTTAGTTATTTTTTCGGGTAAAACTTGCTCCGGTTTGAAGAGAGCTCAGATTCCAGAGAGGTTGCTCATCAGATTCTGAAGATCATCCCGCTTTTTGAAACATACTTAATTAAGACTCCCAGATGTCTTAAGTGCTTCCAAAAATTGTAGCCAGTAGTTGCTGTCCTAGTTTGAAACTGCTTTCCAGTTTGAAGTATTAAAATACTAACCCACCTCCAATTTTGTCAACAAAGCAAAATGTAAAAACTTTTTGAGTGCAGTATTCTTTTTAAAATATTTCGAAGTGTAAGCAAATGATGCATAAGCAAGGGAAAACTGAGTATCTGTCTTTCTAATGTTTGTAGGAGCTAAATTTCCAATTAAATGGACCGCTCCAGAAGCAGCACTGTATGGTCGGTTTACAATCAAGTCGGATGTGTGGTCATTTGGAATTTTACTGACAGAGCTGGTAACAAAGGGGAGAGTGCCATATCCAGGTAAGAGGAAAATTTAATAGATTTTTCTTTTCTTTGTTGTATGCTGTGCTTATGAAGTTACCTTTTGTATTTTTTGCCTTCATTCAGAGCCCACAGTTGACAAGCAGAGGCAAAAACTTAGTCACGCTTCACCGGTTCCTTTGTTCACAAAGCTACTTTGTTTTATTTACAGATTAACTATTATATATTTTTAAAGTGTTTTAGGATAATAGCGTTTGTAAATGTGACTGATAGTTCATTTCAGATTAGTGGGTATCCTTATGTTTTCCTATCTGTCTGTTCCTGAAATTTCTACTTTTGACATTTTCCCAGGCTACAGTGAGCATCGGTAGAGTGAACCTGCTAGACCGGTTTTTGAAACTAAACAGATGTAACATATTTTGTCAGATATTTTGCTGTGACTGGAATTTGTAAGGCAGTTCTGTTAGGTATAAAATGCCTTTTTCTTGGCCTGATTTCAAATTAAGTGGTCCTTGAATGGAACCTAAGGCAGGCAGAAGGAATTTGTGCTTGAGTCTCCTTATTGAAAGGACAGGCCCAAGGCAGTGGGAAAGTATACAAATGAGAAAATATACAAATGGAAGAAGGACCAGGTATTGAGGAATTACCAGCGTAATGAAATCATTTTCAGGAAATGTATTTAATGCAAAATGTAAAAAATTCATTCATTATAAAGTGCGTTCATTAAAGGTTCCGTTATGGTAGATTCGCGTGCATTGCGGCTGGAGAGACACTTGAAAAACTCTGGGAAACTGTTCTTTGCATAATGTCATTCAGAGCTGACATGCTTTCCTTTTAGGGATGGTGAATCGGGAAGTTCTGGAACAAGTGGAGCGTGGATATAGGATGCCTTGCCCACAAGGCTGCCCAGAGTCTCTCCATGAGTTAATGAAACTGTGTTGGAAGAAGGACCCTGATGAGAGACCAACATTTGAATATATACAGTCTTTCTTGGAGGACTACTTTACTGCTACAGAACCACAGTACCAGCCTGGAGACAATTTATAAGCCAACAGTCTATGTAACATGCACAAATCTGCCAAATGTAAAAGACTTGCAAAGAATTCCTGACATCTATAAGGAATCAAAGGAAAGAAAATCTTCGCTACTTTGCATGCTCTTAATGGCAAACTGGAATTTCATAATGCAGTTGCACAAAACCACTTTTAAAGTGTTATAATCTAATTTACCAATGACATGTTTTTATTTTTTTTCCTCTTTCCCAACTTATTTTCAGGGTCCAAAGGAAGCTTACTGAAAATATGGGGTAGAAAAATGAGTGTTGGTGTGAACAATAGCAGAAAAACCAATGTTTCAAATCCTTTATTTTCCCAACATTTGATAATCATTCTACTAAAGAGGGAATTGTCTGGAATTAGTGATCTTGGGGTAAGACATTTTTAAAGCAGAAGAACTTTGTGGGACCAAGTAATTCTATTCCAGTTCTGTAACCCCCAAAAAAAAAAAAGATGGTACAACTGTATTTGATATATAGTCTTGATCTTTAAGCTTCCTCTTGCATGGACTTAATTAGGGTAGGCAGGTTAAAAGAGAAATTGGAACAATGAATGACAAACTTGATCTAAATGGTAGACCTCAATAGTGAAATTAGAGAGCATAATGCACTGTGTTAATACTTGTATTAATATAACTGGAAAGTAGCATGAGAGATTTTTCTTTTTTTCTTTCTGCATAGCTAATTAAGAATAATGAAGGTAACTAGAAAATGAGGTAATATTTTATAAAATTGTGTTGATAAAGTATGATGATATTTGAACTTGAAGCTTTGTAATACAATCAGGGGGGGAAAGCCTTTAATCTTTTAAGCTCCAGTCCAACAGCGAGCTTTTGTATGGGAAGACGACCTGAACAAAGCTCACCGGGAAAGCAAGACTGAAGCTGGTAAATGGCCACTTTTTAGTCCTTTTTCAGAGACGGGTTTGGTACTGTTGTACGTGGCTTACGTGTGTTAACAAGGGCGGGTGCCACAAATGCTAGCTGTCACTAGTTCAGGGATTTGATTGCACTTTTGCTTTTCTTGACTATTAAGACACACTTACACGCAGTTGTTCTTCCCACTTCTGCCCTTCCTACAGAATTATTTAACTAAAAATAAACAAAAGAAAATGTGAAAGTTTAAAAACTAAAGGGATAAAATATATTTAATATTGTCCGAATATAGTGACATTGAAATTTGCTGGCTTTCAGCCCAGCTGTGACACTACATCTAGATTTATTTTCTTTGGCTACTCACATATCAAGCAATAACATCATGTCTTTTACTCAACAACTTGCATGAGGTTCTTGAATTTCTGATCAAGCTTGTGTACTTTAATTTTGAAACACTAAACTCTTACTTAGCTACCAGGTTGGAATTCATATTATCATTGTCAAGCTATCCAACAAATGAATTTCAGAAAAGCTGGTAATATAGTTCTGGTACTAAACTTAACATTCTTCATGGGTTTACACTACATTGAATCCAACTACCAAACAGATCTTTGTAAGAACAGTGCCATCGTTTTTCATTTTCCCTCATCATCGCTCATCACCTATACATCTGTGGTTATCAAATTTTAAAAGGGCTTTATGTAAGAAAAACAAAAATAAAACAAAAAAAACCACACACAAAAAATAATCAAAAAACCCAAAAAATACAATGGAATTTTAATTTTTCTAAATATTTTAAAATTAATAACACAATCATGTGAGTTTATGTATTAATACAGTTATAACAAAAAAATGCCAAAAATGACACTGGCATTGTTTGGATTTTTAATTACTGAATGGAACAGTTCATTGTAATAACACTTGTATAGTAAAGGAATAAAACACTAACTTAATGAACGTGTTCATTGTAAATGGTTGTGTATTATAAGACTTCTCCAAAAGAGTTTGTATGTTTATGAAAATTTATTTGTTTCACCTGAAGACCTTGATGTGGTTCTTACCCTAACAGAGTTTAAAATTCACATTCACACTTTTTATATAAATAGTAATAAGTATAATTATGTAACTAAGTATTTTTATAAAGTATGGCATTGTTGAACTGTTTTGCAAAATTGGTTCAAAATAAATTTCTCCTTGATTGCATCTGCTTATTTGAGGGGGGGGAAGGCGGGAGGGGGACAAAAGCAGCGTAGCCATCATAGTGAGGAGAAAAGGAGGGGAATAAAACCTTCATGAGTTCGGGGTGTATTTTTATCCTTTGTAAACTATTTTAATGTACTTTCATACAAGATGCTGAGTTCGTGGTGCATTATTGCTGTGAAAAGGGAGACATTTTCTAGAGCAGCTCAGAAGTCCTTGGCAGGAATGGGCTAGAACAATTCTGTCTGGACTTAAAACTAAACCCCCGTGACGGACGGACAGACAGGCTTGGGCTTCTTGTGAGAGCAGGTCCAACGTAGACTCTCAGCTGGCGGGCACTGCCACGCTGTAGGGCAAACACATTTCCTCTCTCTTGCTTTATCTGGTATTAGCAGCCACTGTTGACTTCTGTGCAATTTTTCAGGGAGTTTTATACATTTGTTCTTGTGATAGCTGATGTTTTATCTCAGCTTCGTTGGAATGTTACCTGTCTCAATGACCAGTACAACTCAAACCGCAAATCCTGACATGTATATACAGTGACGCTGTAGGTTAAGGAGCTAGTACTGTTTGAGTTTCAATAATAACTAATACAGCACTAAAACCATTCTTCTTACAGAACCTACAAACTGCAAAGTTTACTGTATTTTTAGTTTTTCCTGTAATGTGATTAATGTTTTACTATTTTTAATGACAACAATCATGTAATCTCTGGTAATCTGTACTCTCCCCATTGTCCATTGGAACCTTGTGGTACCCATTCTGCATGCTAGGCCTGCAGATTGTTTCTGTCATGCGTTGTTTCAAGCTGTAGTATTTTAAGGGTATTTTCATACTATTTTTGACTAAACTTCCAAACATAAAAATGTGTACAATCCTACTATTTAGATAAAATACATCCCCATTTTAGCATAAAGCATAATGGAAAGAACCTTATGTGTTCTTACCCTTGCAACCACTGAATTGTCGTTTCACTAGGCTTGTGAGTAGCTCTTACCACCGAAAAGCAGCTTTAGAAAGGTCTTTTTTTAGAAAAAAAAAAAGTCTCCTAGAGTTTGCTGATGGGTAGAAACAAGCCGGAATGCTATCTTACCCGTAGTCATCTACAATACTATTTATTCTAAAACATGTTATCCACAGCTGGAATGAGTATAAATGAATATAAACAACTAAACTTAATGAGCCCCCACTTTTGTTATTTATTTTGATCTGTTCAATAAACTTCTCAGTTTTTAAGTTTTCTGTGAAGATGCTGTAGATGTTTGTATTTGTGCCAACTTGCCCCCAACAGGCAAGACTTCGCTTAGAGCTACACAGTCACGTTGGGTTTAAACCACAGGAGCACTCACTTAAGCTAAGCAGTACATTGCAAACAGGAGACTCAAATTCTCACACTGTGCTAAGGATTTTAGGACTAAATTTGAATAACTGATTTGGGCACCATAAGCAGGTCTGGGTGGATAACTGCTAAAGCCCAGAACTGTGATTCACCCAATAGCTATTGTCTCATGCAGTAGGTACTTGGACTCTTTGTGCAAATGCCGAGAGGTGCAGGTGCCTTCATAGCCGCACATCTCGCTCCTACTTCAGCCTGATCCGAATGTAGGAACGAGACTGCCGTTGGCCTTCCAGGCACTGCGGGAGGCTGGCAGTCAGTGCAGGGCTGGAAACCCCCATGATGCGCGTCTCTGGCAGACACCTTTTCAAGACGGGGTGGGAAGGGTCAGTAGATGGAATGGGATGGTTGTATCTATTTTTGATGTAACGGCCTCGAGTATAAAACGTGGGCTCTGATCAAGAATCGTGGATAGCTGGTGGATCTTATACAGGTGGCTGTCAGCTGTGAGAGACTGTTAGGAGGTTGTTGAGAGCGGGGAGCAGAACCCACTGCAGGACGTCGCCCGCAGCCACAGGCTTAAGCATTTGCTCAAGGACCAGGATCTTTTCTTTTTTTCTTTGCACTTTTCCCTACTGACCCTTACAGAGGGAGAGTTAGCTGGAGAAACATCAACAGCTTCCCTGCTTCTCCCTTAGCATAAGGGAGGGGGAGGGAGAGAGTGAGACGGGAGGATGGAGGTGAGCAGCTGAGGTACTACGCTTCTTCGCTGGGCAGAGGGAAGCAGGTTGAGGGGTGTGGCGTACCAGGTGTCATCCGTTCTCCTCCCTGCCGTATTTTGAAAAGGAGGTAGAAATGCAGGGGAACTGAGGAGCATCTGTTCCCTCGTGCGCAGTGGAAATGGAGCAAGGCTAATGCCGAGTCCTGCTTGTGTTCTCTATGGTGGTTCTAGTCAGCTCACCCTGACTGGTTCCTAGCAGAGCCCCTTCATATTAGTTGGGGAGTCCCAAGCATCGTTCTGTCATTTGTAAGAGTGAACCTTGATCAGCTCTTAGGAAAAAAAAAATTATACAGAGCGCCTAACCAGAGAGATGCTGGTCCCTGGATCCCAAATTGACAGCGATGCTTGCCTCTGGAGCTCAGCTCCAGGGTGATGGCATTTCAGACACTGGCAAGTAGCTTAGCATTTCTTTCCTAGTTGGTGTACGTGGATGTAGGATTTTGCGTTAGGTTTCCCTCCTCTCCATGTGGGCACAGCGTACCTAGGAACTTAATGGAGTTCAGGCATTACCCATGTTCTTTACTGGTCCTACTTCTTGAGCTTATTTTCCTTGTTAGTTCTGCATGCAAACGTGCTTCTTGTAGGTAGCACATAGTGGGGGGGGGTGACATTTTTAATTTAAAGGTGTATTTTTTGTCAAATTGTAATAACCACTGTTGTTGGGGATCAAAGTATTCATAGCACTGTGTGCTTTTACAGAACATTGTCCATCTCCTCTTAGTATTTCATTTACTCTAAGTGAGTAGAAACACGTGTTGGCTATTGTGTTGCTTTTGATTTGTTCTTCTTAAAGGAGAGAGGACAGTTACCAAGGTAAACTCAGCAGGGTCTGAGGAACAGACTGGAAATTTAAAAGGGAAACCTGAATACAAGCACTCTTGATGAATCAGTCATGTACCAACACTGAAGCTGACTACTGTGAAAGCATTCCCTTTTTTATCAAAAAGCTACTCCCAGTAGGAGCACTTCACCCCTCTCCTTTGTGCCCTGCTGCCAGGTTATTGAGTCTCTAGCTGAGGCTACTGACGAGTACACACTGGGAAATGGATAGATCTGTGCATCTTACATTTGGCCCTGCAAATCCATCCCATGTGTGCTAACAACTCACTTTTTTCCTGGACCTGAACAGGTGCCAGCTGCTGCATTCACCATTCATTCAATACCCCCACATTTATTCACATCTCAGGCAGCCTTCCAGGGGCTCCATGGCTGATGATCCTTCTCTCGGCTTCAGTGTTTGGAAG